AAAAAAAAAAGAAATATAGTATTAGATTAAAAAAAGACTAATAAAGTAGGACAGTCTTTTCAGAAAGCTCAAATATAAGAAAACCCAAAGCAAATGTGTGTGTTCATGTGTTCTAAAACTATTTTTTTTTAATTTTTTCAAAGTTTATTTATTTTTTAGAGACAGAGAATGAGTGGGGGAGGGGCAGAGAGAGAAGGAGACACAGAATCTGAAGCAGGTTCCAGGCTCTGAGCCGTCAGCACAGAGCCTAATGCGGGGCTACAACCCACAAACTATGAGATCATGACTTGAGCTGAAGCCAGATGTTTAACTGACCGAGCCACACAGGTGCCCTCTAAAACTATTTTTAAAACAAGGTAAATTAATTTTTTAAATGAAGGATAATAGCTAACTTTAGGGGATACTCAGAGGAATGACATCAGAGAGAAGCTACAGATTTTATGAGGAATGCTTGTCAAGTGTTACTTTTTAAGTTTGGTGATATAATCAGTTATTTGCTGTATTATGTTTCACCACATAACACATATGTTGTTTGTGGTTTTGTATGTATGATATAGTATGTAATAAATGTTTTAAGTAAATAAGATGAGCCTAATAAATTTCCCCCATATTATTATGGTATTTTAAAGATATTTTAAGGATATACGGAGCTAATGTAAGAGGAAGTCTCTTTGCCAAACATAAAATTGTTTACAAACATTAGACAGAATCATAATGAATACATTTCTGCTTCTAGATTACTGGTGAGCTTCGTCTCTGCTACAGTCCCAACTTGCCTGCATGCTTAGTTCTGCTGTTACGCTCACTGATGGTGACAGTAACTCTCTGCTCACCGCCGGAGAGCAAGCTTTCCTGCTTCTCTCTTTTAACTTGAAGGGAAAACTCCCCGAGAACCTAAATTGTTTAATATCAGGCTACAAGCCCCAGCCTCCAAGCACATCTTAAAACTAGAACCAGTGGTCCCCCCATTCCTGTCTTTCCATCAAAGATAGATTGTACCCAATCTCCCCATACCTACAAGAATTGATATTATCCCCTTCTTCCAAGCATTTGTTGATCAGATTTAACTGAAATCTCATGGGGGATTTTTAGTAAGACTTTTTTCCTATATGATTATCAAAACAAGTAATGGAGAGGTGCTCTTTGAGGTAGACAGTGACAATGAAATAGCAGTAAAAGAACTACTCATTTTTACAGCAAACTGCTTTATAATTTCCTAATCACTTAGATATATATCCTCATTTGATAAGATTTCTTTCTTGGTTATTTTACTTAAAAATTTTGCAGATTATGCTCTTACTTTCAAAACAAAATTATTGTGCCTGATAGGGGGTAAATATACAAGATAAATGCTTTAGCATTATTTTTCCATTGCCGCAGATATACCCAGAGAGTTAGAGAATCAGGAAACCTCCACACTGTGATCTTCTGACTTCCTGAAACTCTCTCTCTGTTTTTTTAATTTTAATTGTGGTAAGAACAGATGACATGAGATTTACTTTCTTAACATATTTTTAAACATACAGTATAGATTGTTGACTATTATCACATGCTGTACAGTGGATCCCTAGAATTTATTAATATTTGACTGAAACTTTACACCCATTAAACGGCAACTCCCCATTCCTGTAACTCTTAAAGGATTTAGAATCACTGAGGACTCTAATGTTATACAGGCTGGGGGAAAACACTTTCAGGGAAGGAATTGTGAAACAAAGGTAAGAGATAAGCGCTATCCGATTCACTGGAATCAGTGAATATTTATATAGTGCCAATCAGTTGGAATATTTACATAGTGCCAAGAAAAACATATATGATGTACATTCAAATAGAGAAATTTCAGAATGAGTTCAGAGAGGTTAATTTGCCTTGAGGTCTCTCTATTTTAACTGTCCTTTTTATTATACCATTACTCCATTCTAGAACTCAAAGCAGCTTTCACCTCTTGGAGTTACTTAGCTAGAACTCAGCAGTGTCCATTGGTCTCTGTAGATTATGTAGCCCTCCCACTTAACATTTTACAGCTCAGTCTGTCCAGGTTCCTTAATATCCCTCTGCCCATGCATTCATTTTTGTTTTGTGATTTCATTCACAATCTTGTGTTTTTATTGTTTGTAGTGAAAGAAGGAGAAAAGGAGACCCCTTTTCTAAAGTCTATCAAATAAAATGTTTATTTTTTATTTTATTGGCTTCAAGAGTGAACTCAAAAAGATGAAAGTCATATTTGAACCTGACATTCCCAGTGGGTATCTTGCCTTTGAATAGGAAACCTGCATTTCATATTCTTCATTTAAGTTCCCTGCTCTATCACATCTTTTCTCTGTTTCTCATTGCAAGAAAAGCCATTTTAAAGCAAGCCCTGCTATGGATGCATAATAAAAACCCTTCAGAACAAGCCCCATTTTAACAGATCATTAAATTTATTGCTTGTGAGGGGGTAAAAATCCAAGATTTCAGAACAAACACATTTTTATTCTTTTTGTTTTAATTTTTCTATTAGGATACTTAAACAGAAAGTGTGTGCCATTTCTATAATAACAAATCCTCAACTAAAATCCACATACAAGAAAACTAAATGTCTCCTAATAAACAAACACATAAAATCCTTCCCATATTGCTAGAGATTTAGATGGTAGATTAAAGATGGATCTTCAACTTTGTGATTTTCTCTGTCTTGACATCAGTTATCAAGTCAGAGCTGACAAGCACCATAGAAATAAACAAATCCTTGCTGGTCTTATTTCTAATTCCAGTATGATGATACAGCCTTCGCTTTATTCAGTAGTTGTGGTATTTATAAGTGGGGAGTTTCCAGTTGAGTTTTATGAGGACAAATGAATGACTGGTCAGGGCAATATATCAGCGAGAGTTAAGAGGCACAGGGCTTCCATAACAGGAGCCCAATTATTCTACTCCTAGACAAGAGCTTTCTCTTTAGGATGACAAATTTGCATACATTGTACTTTTGGAGCATACCAAACTTCTTATTTGGGTTTATTGTGCAGTTTTCAACCTACTCCATAGTGCCTTCTTGTGGCCTGATATGATGACCCTCATTAGGGAATGCCTCATTTTATGTAAGTAGTGATAAGAGGTGGAGGTGCAGATTCAAAGGCTACTCATTAAGATGCAGTCTGGAGGTAGTACAGTTCCCTGACGGTCCTTGTGGCCATGCTCCCAGGTAATTACTCCCCTACTAGCTGGCCCTTCATGGCGCCAGGATACACGGGAGCAAATCTGAGAGATGACACCAATCAGTATCGACTCAGGAAAACCGTTGTAAAAATAATTACCAATCGTGCCTTTGGCCAAACACTGAATGCAATTACCATATTACAATGATTAAGGTAGTGATCAGAAACTCTCTTTCCACAGAGAAAAGAAACAAAGAGGACAGAGATCATTGCTGGGGTAATTGAGAAATTTTCTTTTCTAAGGAAAGAAATTTTCTTTTCTAAGCACGGAAACTCTTCATAATGGTTACAGTCACCGCTTATACTCAAAAAGTAAAACACTGTAATAGATACAGGCTTTCTTAGCCTGTCACAGTTTCCTGGGACTTCTTTAATACTTGTCTCTTGAACTCCACAAGAAGTTCTGATGTCACTAAATAGGTCAAGTGTGATCATCTCAGCTTGGTCTTTGTACCTGTGACTCCCATCCCTGCTTACTCTGCGCGTGTTTATACTGCTAGCAACTCAGCAGCAAGCCATTCCCCGTGCATTGGAGCACCTCATAAAACTCCTCAAGCAAAGCAATTTTATCTTTCAGCATTATCCTAGGCTTCCTGTGGAGAACAGTGTTGTTGTTGTTTTTTCCACTACAAAGGAGTTTTTAATATATCATGTTCAGTGCTTATGTAGCAATTGAATGCGTGACATGTACCAGCAGATTTTCACCCCCTCCACAGAGTTAAAGAGATCCATGTTTGCTTAAATACATTAACTTTACAAGTTGACACACACATTTGGTGAGAAAGCAGTTTTGTATCCTAATAACATAGGACAGAGGAGACGGAGGGGTGAGAACTTCCCATCCAGGGTGAGAATCAGGAGGACAGAAGTGGACGTGAGTTATGACTTAAAATACGGTGGTCAGAGTTGAACTCACTGATCGAACACATGAAAGAGATTGTGTAACATGATGTACCATTCACACTCCACTTAACCATTTGCATTACATTTAAAGATCTAATCAGTTATTTAGTTAAAAATATTTATGGAGTATTTACTGAATACAAGGGGAACACTTTGTGAAAGACACATTTTAATCTCTGTTTTACATATAAAGACTAGAAAGGTTGGTGAGTTTAAGTAGCTTGTTCAAGATTACACAGCTGGGAAGTGACAATACAAGTATTAGGATCAAGCCCTCTGCTATCGCCAGTACCAGGTTTCTCCTCTGATACTTGGGCACAAATAGGCTATCCCACAAAGTCGTCCTAAGTACAGCTGTTAGAAAAGGACCTGGCAAATAGTAAAAGTTTATTTTGAGTGATTAATAGTTTTGTATCTTATAATTCTGAAGATAATCATGAAAGCCTACTATATAAAAATGTAGTGTTTGTAGAACATGTCTCATGTAACCTTACAACAACCCTTCACAGATGGCAAGTCTCCGATTGTAGGGAGATGTTTGCATACCTTCCCTAAGGTGACCTCCAGCCAGGAAGTGATCAAGCCTGTACTGGAACCCAGACCTGTTTTGAAAGCCTGGGCTTGTGGCAACTGTTCCAGACACCGTTCCTTCTCAGTTAAAAGCGTCCAGTCTAACCAGAGATGAACAAAGTTCCATGTGAGTTTAGATGAGATGACCTTGCTCTGGCGTCCAGAGCAAAGAGAGCAGTCAGCAAGTTTATCTAAGGACCACCTTGCTGCTGTGCTTGGGTCACTGGATACATATCTCATTTCCCTTCAATAATCCACACGAAGTCCTAGACAGACACAGCAATGACCTGGTTATTTAATATAGAATGGTTTCATCTTCATCGCCAGCAGCTGTGAAAATTGGGAACACATGCTGTGGGCTTGTGGCTGGAAGCTGTTTTCTGTCAATGGGATAGATACTAGGTCTTACAAGTAGGAAACAGTGGGTCCCAAATCTCCATGTCCTTCAGCTGGGATGTTTGCAAAATTCAGAGCCGAAAGGGATCACCTTGTGGTTCTCTTACAACTGTTCTCCAAAGTGAAGTTGGGGTCCAAATTGGTGAAATTCCTTCTCAAAATCCTTGCTGGTCTCTGGCAGAACTGAGTCTTGAAGCCACGTCTTTTGTCATGTGTCCCTCGGGCTCTTTTACTCACCAAGTAATGGAAACATACTCATTGCAATTAAAATTTTTTAAGAAATTAAGTGTATGAGGGAAGTCCTTCTTCAATGCCCTCATATCTAGGCTCTTCTCCCTAGAGAAACTACTCTTATCAGATCGGTGTGCTTCCTTTCAGCCTTTTACCATCTTTTGTTTGGGACCCTAACACTTCAGGAAAGATGAATTTGCTTTGTGTCTCTATGCCATGAACTTTAGAGGGGCCAAACCTCCATGAGATGTGTGTGTGTGTGTGGTGTGGTGTGGTGTGGTGTGGTGGAGGGTGCTTGTAATTGTCCATTTCTCCCTATGACATGGTATTTTAATTCTGCAGTGCAGTGATAACAAGATTGTCCCTCACACCTAAGCTCACGTCTTCTAGTGGTTTTATCATGGATATGTATGCCGTTTTTTCATCAGCCTGACAACTTGGTTTATCTTTCAGTGGGGTCAGAATACATTATATTTGTTGAGTTGTTTCTCCACTTTGTCACTAGTCTTTAACTTTGTGTTGGTAACTTATATCCTATAGAAATTTTATATTTTTATGAAACAAGTCCTTCATACTTTACCTTTATTGGACTTATATTAACCAGCATAAAATTATTTTTAAAAAACTGTATTTTCTTTGAGTATATTAATAGTTTTATTATTTGTTTATATTTGGCTGTTTAATTCATCTAGAATTTGTTTTTACATATAATGCAAGATATAAATATATGTGCTTTTCCAAATGGATGACCATTACGTTAGCACAATTTATTGAATAGTGCATTCTTTATCCACTGAATTCAAATTCCATATTTCTACAGACATATGGTTTAGTTTTTGCACTTTCCATTTCATTTCATTGACATAATTTTCCACATTGTTGCAATCATGATAAAGTTTTAAAGTATAACTTGATATCTAAGAAGGCCTGATTCTCATCTTTTTCTATTTCAAATTAGTGTAGGTTATCCTTGTATATTTCCTTCCCCAAATTATTTTAACATCAGTTTTTCAAGTTACATAAATACCTTGTTGAGAGTTGTATTATTCTTGCATTACATTTATACATTTATTTGGAGATAATTAGACCTTTACAATACTATTCTAACAGAGAACATATTTTTTCTCTCCATTTATTCCATTTCTCCAGGTCTCTCAATAAAGTCCAGTACTCTTCTTCATATACCTCTTATACAGTGTGAGACCAAAAAAAAATCAAATTACCCACAGTTATTTTGAACTTTGTGCTGCTACACTGAGCATGACCTATTATTTATTTTTATATGTATAAAATATATATTATGTATATATACATATATACATGTATATAATATATATAATTAATATATATATAATTAACACTGCTCATATATAATTAGCACTGCTCATATATAATTAGCACTGCTCATACAGAGGAAAGCAGTTGGTTTTTCTAGGTTGATCTTCTACCTAGCTTCCTTGTGAAACTCTCTTAAAGAGTTTTCAATTGTTCTATATCATATCACCTGAAAATAATGATGCTTCTTTTGTCCCTTTTCAGTATTTTTACTTATTGTTTATTACATATTTTATTGACTATTCTCTTCAAGACAAAAATGAACCTAATAATGATAGGTGTTTTGGGCTGAATTTTGACTTTAATAGAAATGATACCTCACTATCAGTTAAGAAATTATTTTTCTTCCAATTTCTAATTTGCTACTAAAAAATAAACCAGGTATGGATATTGGGTTCTATTCAATGTTACTTCATATCTATTGTGATGATTACACAAGTTTTCTCATTTTGTCTGATAATTTAATGTATTATATGTTTCATGGTGATAAAATCTCTTTGCTTTTTAGATAAATATCACTTGGTCATGATACAGCATCCATTTGATATATTGTTGGATTAAAGTTATATATATTTTATTTAGAATGTTCACATCGGAGTTCAGAAAGTAGATAGACCCACAGGATTCTTTTTGGTGTGTATTTTTTTCTGTATTTGAGATCAGGATTATGATGCTTACAGAATTGGTTAGGAAACTTTCTCTCATTTTCTATTCTTTGGATCAGTTTCTATAGCATAGATCGTATCATTTCCCCAGAGATCTGAAGGACCAAAGGGAAACTATAGATTTTCCTCCCTTTCCCTTTCTTTCTACACCATTATGTTTAGTATAATGATGAGTAAGAAAGGATATGATTGAATTCTTGGTCATTCTTGTTACTCAGAGTGTAATTTGCTTTCCTTCTGAATTCAAGCAAGTTCTGGTTGGAACAGAGGGCATGGCCTCTGGGACTGTAGTAACCCCCTTTCTTTTGCCCCTTTACCTAGTGTTAAATAGGATGGTTATACTTGCTTTGAGTCTCTCTGAAATCTTACAATCATGAGGCATACAAATACTATAAGCAAATACGGTGGCGAGGGACTATCTCCCCTCCTCCCCATGCTCCCTTGTTCTGTTGGACTTCACTCACAAAACACAACTTCAAATAAAACAACCATGCAGACTTTCTGAGTGGGGAGCCCTGTGTGACTATACAGGTTGTGAACCCATGAAGTTTGCCTTGTTTTTTTGAATTATTAAATTATAGTTGCATACAGTGCTTTATTACTTTTAGGTATACAATTTATTAATTCAACAATTCCATACAATTCTCAGTGCCTGCCACAATAACTGTAGTCACCATCTGTCACCATATAATATTTTACAATATTAATGACTATATTCCTGATACTGTACTTTTCATCTCTACAACTTACTTATTTTATAATTGGAAGTTTGTAACTTTTCATCTCACCTTTCTCCCACCTCCCACCACTCTGGCAACCACTAGCTTAATTTTTTCTCTTTGTTTGCTTGTTGCTTTCTTTTGCTTTGTCAACTCCACATGCAGGTGAAATAAGGTGATGTTTGTTTTTCTCTGAGTTATTTCACTTATATAATACCTTCTAGGTACATACACGTTGTTGCAAATGGCAACATCTCATTCTTTTTATGGCTGAGTAATATTCCGTTCTGTGTGTGTGTGTGTGTACATATACATATATATATGTATATATATATACCACATCTTCTTTATCCACTCATCTACTGATGGACATTTGGATTGCTCCCATACCTTCACTG